CCGTTTTAAGAAGTTTGTAAAGTCCCCCGCGACATAGGATTTAGGTATTCCTATTGCGAGAGTAGACTTTTTAAAAAAAAGATAAAATCAAACTATTTCCTACAAGTCTCTAACGACAACAGTTCAAAAATTATCACATCACATCAACAGCCTTTAATAGTCCACTGCTGGACATAGGCCTCTCCTTAGAAAGGAGGTTTTGCCTACCATACCACGCTGGCCCGTCGGGTTGGTATAGGGTTTGTGTTAAGTTTTCCTTCTTATTGCAGTGCTGGTGTTAGCTGTTACGATACCCACGGGATGAATATGGGTAGTGGCATTCCGTATTCTTTAAAATTATATATTTAACATATTATGCAAGCATCACGTGTTGTAGTCTTATCTATAAAAAGTATCTAGATTAGATAAGACTAAAATAAAAATTGAAGTGGATGTTGTTACATTATGTACTGGAAGTATCGATATAGCTCGTGTATCTTTGTTGTCCCCCCTACTGGGCATTGGCGTCCCCTACAACTACTCTAATTAAAACTTTAATTAATTACTTTCGCTAATCTAGATAACGTATGACATGAATTGGGTCAGGAAACAGTCTAGTACACAAAATAGACAAAAATACTTACATAAACTTATTTTTTGTCTATTCCTTTAGATACCGACGCATGAGTCGGAATGTGTTTCAAATTATGTACTGCTTTTGACACCATTCCATGAATTCCACCAAAGTAAAATAACTCAGTGTTAAGCCAAATGGTTAATAAGTGGTGAAATGAGGCCTAGCCGTAGTTGTTAAAGTTTTTGACAACTACGGCTAGGCCTATTTTTTCCTGTTCCTCAGTTTGACCTGCCATTGGTGACCTTTGGTTCGATCCGATTGTAATTTTTCCTCTCTTTTCAATTCCGGGCTCAATAATATGCAATTCCATTTGAAAATTGCCCTTGACCATTGAGATAACATTCAAGGTTGTAATCAAGGTCAATTTCAAGGATTCATTTTTCGTGCCTCCAACATCCTTCAATATCCAAAATCCTTCGTGCCCATGCCCCTCCAACACAAAGGAAGGATCCCAGAGGCGAGGTGCAACGAATGATGTTGGGAAGTTGTTTATAGCATATATCGGCGATAGAATTGTTAATATCGCGATACAAGATTAGCAGTTACTCCGTAGTCGGTGTGTCTTCGTTAGATGGCGCTGTAGCATGTTTCCTCGTTTTTCACCGTTTGCGGAAGTCGCCTCAGTACTCATCACACAATATTAGTTCGTCCTGAGCGTCAAAGACCCACGACCTCTCACTTAGCAGTCACGATCGCCAATCACTACACTAACACTGCAGTTACTTAAATATTTCCTGCATAATAGACTGCTTTCGTATTATTTTATGCAATAAAATGCACTGATTTTGTTAAATAAACCAAATATCTAATTTGTTTATCAAACTTAGGGTATAGTTTACCTATAATATGAACACACTCAGACCACTTAGGCACTCCGACCCTCAGAGCTGGTTAAGTAAAATTAAAGCCAGAAATAGATACCACGAGTGACATTTAGATAATAACTGGAACTCACAGTATGTCAGTATTTATTCAATTAATGGGATTTTAAACAGTCATTTTACACAATGACAATATTAATGTTTTTGCACTTTGACATCAAAAAGAATAATATCGGGAGGCGCTCGTTAAATAAATTGTAATGATAACGCTAATGTTATTGTTAATATGTAGTAGTTATTAGCTGTGACAATTATGAGTAATTGTAAACATAACTGATTCATAGAATCAAAGGTCGTATTTATTTATAAATAAATTATGATTAGTTTAGAGGAGCTTTTGCAGCTGTTGGAACTCAGAAATACTATCAGAAACTTACATATCAGATTCTCAATTCATTCGAGTCAAGGTCAAAACCTACAGTTAAAAATTACTTCGCAGTCTACATTGTTTGTTGATGTATATTCCACTGTTGTTGCAACAACTTTGTGGAATGCACTACTTATGGAAATGAGAATTACTCCAACAATAAACAAGTTTAAAGTAATGGTGAAAAGTTAATGTCTATATATATATACATATATATATATATATATCCTGATATACTGTAATTAGCTGTCACTGATGTTATAAAAATGTTAACTTCCTGACAGTTGATTTATTTATACTATTACTTTAGTGTGTATATAAGTATATGTATATATTTGGTTGTATGTGTTGTTGTGTTGTGGTTGTGTCATCCCAAGGTTGTCCAGTAGAGTTCGTTTTTAGCGATATGATCGCTAGTTGTACCCTATATAAAAAAAAACTATTTAATACGTTTTCAATTGATCGCTTTATCAAAATTAAGCAAGTGTGATGCCTTATATTTTAATTTTTTGAAGTTGGAGTCTGTTAAGAGTCCTTTGACAGACAGGCGGTGGACTTCGGTTCTTCCTTTCGTACTTTAAAACGTACACCTAAGTTTCTCTGCTAGTAACACTTACTTTAATGATACATTTTAGTCCTCAGCCTTAATGTATTAAAAATATGCGGCCACGCTTCACTGGTAGCTATAGCCATTGCATTGTTTTTGGCAACATAAAACATAAAAAACGACTGCGATCAATACAAAGAACAATAAAAAATGTGTGTTGTCTAAATATAGTTGTGCCTCAGCCAAACATTAAGTGTAAGTGTCAAGTACGCTAGATTCGACGAATAATATAACTTAATAGTGAATTTAAACGACGTAATACTATCCCGAAAGATTTTACACACCGCACACTTTAAATCAGAAATTCTTTTATTAATCATAGCAGATTCGCTTGCAATTAAAGTTCTGTAAAAGAAAACACATCTCACGCAGGGTCGTCTGATCCTAAAATAAGCAGAGCCTGTGCTATGGTAACCAGACTGCTGATAAACATACTTATATATTTCTAAATACGTACACATAGATAAACAGCCAGACAGAAAACAAATGATCGTTCTCATCACACTATTATTTGTCCTGGGTGAGAATGGAACCCACGACTCGGAGGTCAGCTGGAGCTTAGCAGTCAGGGTCACTAACCATTAAATCATCAGGCCCTTACCATTGCAATTTATAAATTAGTAATGCACCTCTTCTTTATGAGTTCAATGTGACTTTTTGCGGGAATGTAAACATCTGAATTTTGCTCCAACAAGCATCCGCAGATGTGTCTAGACTATATCTAAAAATAAACTTGCTTTTGTTACTTCTTTTTAAAATCTGTCTGTATTTAGTAAATGCAACTATAGGTACAATAGACATTGTTAACAATAGATTCTTAGTAGTAGTCTTACTTACAATTCAATCTATAAGTGATTACTTTTATACCTTTATAAATCCTCGTACCTATTAGTAGAAATTTGGAAATGTACCAGCTCTAATTATGTGTACAAACGAGTGGGCGTAGAATTGCCTGAACTGTCGATAGTACTTACTAAAAAAAACATCTTCTACGCCTAGATAGTAATAAGTCAATACTACAGGTACTTTTGTTACGGGCTCACTGTCTCTAAATAGAATTAGAACGACTAATGCTTATGAACTTAGGTTTTATTTTTAATCTACTTCAAAAAGGAGGTTATCAATTCGGATGATTTTTATGTTTGTTCGGGCTATAATTTATCCTACGAGTACATAGACGGATTTGCAAATATCTCTTTTTGTTCGAAAAGGGTTTATTACGAAATGGCCCCATTTAAATTTCATATATCATATATAATCTGATGATAACTTTCGGATTCAAAAAATGACAGCTAATCGACCGAATTCTTTGAAGTCGGGTCAACCTTTTTTTATTAAAAAAATATTGTTGCTTTTGTGATGATAAGTGATGTACCTTGAGGAAGGTAACTTACGGAGTAACTCATATGCTATCTATCCAGCATAAGACAAGTTGACGAACGTGTAAAACTTTTTACATCACGGTCGAGTGGTTAAGCAGGCAGTTTCCGTTTGGACTAACAAACTTAACAAGCTTATTGTTTCTAAGATCCAACCGTGTCTGTTTTCCGTTAGACAGTAGCAATTTAAAGAGAAGGACGTTCTTAAAAGTATCTCGACTCTTAATGTCAACTAATCATCGGTGGGCGTGGTGATGCAGAGCAAATATTAGCTGTCGCTTTTGTTGAATCTAGGTGTTGGCAAGTCGCCAATAAAAGGTTATCTTTTAGAAATCCGTGCTTTTCCCTAAATCGTAACCATTTAATGTAATTACCAGGTCTGAACCCCAACCCCCCTTAATGATGAAGGAGCTTTAGTGATTCTTTTAACCATTAAAAAGACATTACAAGGAATTTACTGTATTTGAGGTTAGTGGAAAATTTTCCTTGTACTCTACGTTCAAAAACGAAATTATTAGCAAAACCCATTTTTCTTTGAGGAGAGGAGGTAAAGTAATCTTCTCACAACCTCTTATTGTTGAAACAGTGATGTTAGGACTTGAGGTCTACAAAATCATAATTTCATCTATTGCTTGACGATTGCCTTCAAGTGTGAAAAATATCTGACAGATTTTAATCATCTGATTCAAACAATCTTTTAAAGGCTATTGAAAAAAATGATACAGTTGAACTACGGTATAATATTTCAATGACGGTATAGTCCGTGTGGTGACGAATTAAGAATACAGAGTGTTACCACCCCTATTCATCCCGCTGGTGTCGTAAGAGGCGACTAAGGGAGCGAAATACGCAGGACAACAGCACTGCAGAGAGAAGGAAAACTTGACACAAACCCTATACCAACCCGTCTGGCCAGCGTGGTATAGTAGGCCAAAACCTCCTTTCTAACCTCTTTTCTCTATTTCCAGCAGTGAACTGTTAAAGGCTGTTGATGATGATGATTGATGATAATATTTCAAACATTTCAGTAGTGGAGATATTAAAAATGTGAATCCTGCTTGTTGAATAAATCATTATTCATAAAGACGTGATACATTATTCGATTCCGATTGTACACTTTCCTATTCAAATGTATTTTCTTTTGTTACAGCCAGCAGTTGGGCTTCATATACGAGTCGGTGAACAAAGGCATCGTCATCGAAGACATAGATTTAGACCAGGTGTGCCTTTTGACCGAAGCGATCGAAGCTCGACAGCTAATCAGCGAGTTGGCGTCGTTGACTAGTGAACGATTTATTGCTGCTCCACAAGGTAAGACTCTTGACTTTTATGGCTTCTTTGTTACGACGAGATAGGTATTACAACAAAATTTATTACACTTGAAAACTGTGGAATTTAATTTTTAATTATCATGCCTATTTATTCATAGACCAATTGATGTCTTTGGCCTTTTCAATTATAGGTGAGATATGTGGCTTCTTCGAGATACCCTAATCCTAGACCCGTTTCCCCATTCGATACTTGATCCCGTGCCCCATCTTTTTCCCTTTTCCCATTTGAAAACGATTAGATAGCGATAGCGGTCCCAGAGAGGGATAGCGTCACGCAAGCTCGGCCATAAAATAACCCAGTCTTACTCCCTCTATAAGCTCCTAATACAATTGCCAAAAAATTAGGCAAATTAGCAGGAATTAATTGAAGCAGAAATGGGCATAATAAATAGTAACTGATCGATCGCAGATGAATAAAATACAAAAACAACATGTACTGGGAATACCAATCAAGGAATATTGAAATTTTGCCATATCAACAACATTTTAACAGATGCACCAATTGCGCAGAGGAGTCCAAAGACTAAGACTCCGTATTGCGTAAGATAAACGTTGTACGAGTATAATGTTCATATGTTCGTAAAGTCCCTACACTACATATATATCTTCCTGCTTGCCCGATTTGATAAACGCAAATACAAATAGCAATAAAATACTATTTTAAATGATGTAATCAAACTGATCTATGTTCCCTATTTAGGTCATTCTGTCACAGTACGTAGAAAGGTTACATCACATACGGCTTATGAAATATCCATAGTTTAAAGATAGAATTCAGAATTCTAGGAATTGCTGCATGATATAATTATGACATTATTAAACATTTGTTCAGTACGACTTATAGACACGAATTAGACACTTTAAGGTAAAAGTGGAATACTAGTGAAGTGAAGAGTGCAAATGTTATTTAACTAGCATTAGCATTTGCCAATATTTTTTTTTGGAGTTGGATTCTAGTCCAAAATTTATTTGTGGGTGTGCCAATTTTTATCCTGCACCATTCTAGCGCGATTAAGTAACAAATATCATTCCAAACTTTTCAGTGAAAACATTTTGATGACAGTACGATGCCTATTTAACCTATTTACGTATTTAGTACGCTGACAGCAATTGCAATGCAAATTATTTAAAAAAAATTTTGCTTCGTTTTTTACCTAGATATATCTCATTATCTGTTTTGATATATCGTTTCTTTGTTCAGGACTTGCAAAAACATGATGTTCAATATAAATTGTTTTGTAATATTATGTCATCAATGAGTAAGTTTAATAGTAAAATGGATTGTGTTATAATACGCGAAGGACTCTTATTCAAATGTCTTGTAACGCCTAAAAGGCGTTCACTCCTTAAGTGTATTCACCTAATTATACGCTCGAGCGTACAAATACTACCCACCACTACAAATAGTACCCAAGCTGTTATATCTAGAATCTGTCTTGAACTCTCATGCCAGGTTAATCGAATAAAGGAAATTAGTTTTCGGGAAAAGTTGTTTGTGTCCGTATTTGCAGGGAAGTGGGGGTGTCTGCTCATTATAATAATAATGTATTTTTCTTGTAAGATAATAAATACAGATAACATTCAATAGTTGACCAGTTTCTGGATTGTTTCATTACTACCCAACACGGTCCATATTCCTGAAAATTACCAAGTTCGCTGTTCTCATTAGTTCTTTTGTATGTCTAGTCGCTCACTGTAGGTATAAAAATATACGTAACTACTGTTAATAGATTTATATATTTCAATGATTGTAATAGTGGTCAGTTTTTGCGTAATTTGCGTATTTAACAATGGGCTTAGGTAACGGTATTTTAATTGAAACTGTGGTAACAACTGACAAGACAGAAATACCTAAATAATTTATGCATAATACCTATTTCTATCATTATTTAAAAGCATGTCGATAACTGGAGAGGGTTTGGGGAAACGGTGAGGGGTATTCTGACAGCTGGCGCCTAATGACCCATTTGTTTGTGTTATTGTCGTTTAGGGACGTGTGTGAAATGGCCACCCATCACACCTCTTTTACTGTAGTAAAATAACTAATGAGTGTAACGAAGCCTTCTAATACTGTGATGTTTATATGCTAAATTTTTTTTGCTGTTATTGGACTCTGTAACTACACAGACAGGATTATGTTTTTCATCTGTATATTAATTATATTTTCTAAGGAGTTCTTATGCCTTGAATGACTTGACTTAGTAGATTTAAACTATTGAGGTGTCTATTCACTCGCATAAACTATACGATAAGTGAAACGTACTGTTTACTTCCAATTTATAAAAGCAAATATGGCAACATTATTAAACATTCATCACATACACATAATAGTGTAGATAAAAAATATTAATAAATTAAGGGTTCTATGCATTTAAAGTAATAAACAGCTTCACAGTTCACAGAACCCATAGAACCTCCAACTTTTATGACACCAGTGCGTTGCCGCCAAAATGTATTTCGAAGAGGTCGGATTCGAGTACACGTGTCCGGCCTTTTATTGGAAAAGTCACTAGGACAGACACATCAAAACATTAATAAATTAATATCTACATATGTTGTTACGTATATACATACATTCCTACATATATATAGCGAAATATATTTTTTTAATACATCTCCCGCACTGGTCCTGTGTCGCGGGGGACTTTACAGCATGGAACATACATGAAACGGACACAAAGAACACCCAGACTCGGGACAAGAATTTGTGGATCACACAAAGTTATGTACCATGTGGGGATCGAACCCACAACACAACGCAGTAGAAAGTACATGCTTATACAAATCCATGTTATAGAACATACAGTACAAATTATATGCTGTTTTGACTCGATACCACTTTGAAATATTATAAACATACCTAACATTGTTTCTTGCGTCTTTGTAAACATTTTATTATCATTGAATATCATAAGGATCCAATTTGATCACTAGTTTCACCACGTTAGGTCGCGCAATGTCCTTGCCATTCTTTATGAAAGTATGCTTCAATTTCAGGTTTAACACAAGGTTAACACTTGTGTGCTTAATTTTATAATTTAATGTAGAAATATATGCTACACGCGGTTTATAAAAAAATAATTTTGTACGTATAAATAGGTGCAGACATATGAATACTTCTTTCTACTTTGTTTTTATTTTTGGAGTTTACTCCTTAAGATTCCTTCATCCCTTTTTTTTTTCACTTTTTTCGACTTTTGAATCTTGATTGTATAGCGTTTCGACATCCGATACGTAATGTAATTCACAAGAGGTATTTCCCTTTTTTTTTAATTGCCTGGATACCATGGACTCGCATAGTAGGCCTAATGTAATTTGGGTATTATATAATTCTATATATAATTATAGGTCAACTAGAGTCTGTTCGGTCGGTATATTAAACGCAGCTGTGTGAAAACAATATTTCATCACATCAACAGCCTTTAATAGTCCACTGCTGGACAAAGGCCTCTCCTTAGAAATTAGGTTTTGGCCTACTATACCACGCTGGCCAGACGGGTTGGTATAGGGTTTGTGTCAAGTTTTTCTTCTACCGCAGTGCTGTTGTTCTGCGTAGTTTGCTCCCTTAGTCGGCTCTTACGACACCCACGGGATGAATAGGGGTGGTGACACTTAGTATTCTTAATCCGTCACCACACGGACACAACAAAATATTTATCACATTAGTATTTTATATGTATTATAACATATTAATATAAACACCTGTTTTCGTGACTAAGTACTCAAGATCTTTGTCGTCTTAATCGGGGCCTAAGTCCAACTAAGTCGTATCTACAAAATGCTTTGTTTGTTATCCGATGTCTACAAGTACATTGTGATAACGTAACGCAATATCAAGGCTGATTACTCAAATCATACCTATATGTCGTCACTTTCAAACTAGCGCCTTCAACTTTTTTTCCTTATTCAGTGACGGAACCTGGCGTCGACGTCATGTGTATTTGTATATTGATCTCTAAATAAATTGCTTTTCTTTCATCATCATCAGCCCATCGCCGTCCACCCCCAACTACCCCCCGCCTTGGGTAATCCGCAGCCATCCGCCGCCAGCCACTTTCTTTAGGTCCTCAGTTTATATATATGTTTAATAACAGTTAAGTAGAGTAAAAATCTTGTTTTAGAAAAAACATGTTATTTTATAATGTCAAAAGTGATAAAACGTTGTTATCTATATATATATATAAGAGATTTCCACGTATATAGTCACTCATCACGATATCTCTGGAACCATTAGAGCTAAAGACTTGAAATTTGGTAGGAATATTCTTTTCACCGAGTAGTGGTCAGCTAAGAACGGATTTTAAGAAATTAAAAAAAAATAATCAAATAATGTAAATAGCAAAACAACGTTTGCAGGGTCAGCTAGTATTATATATATGTTGTTATATAAATATTAGGTATATGGGCAAACATTTTAGCGATTAAACTTAAAAATAATGAACTGTATTATCTTGGGTAGAAACAGATAACAAGTTATTTTTATTATACACATACTTTTATACCCTACGTTGCTGATTACAAGTGAATTCAATTGCATACACACGCACAAACACATTTGCAAACACGCACGCACGCACGTTTTGAAAAGATGAACCCTAAAAATAACGTAAAATGAATATACCGTAACTGGATGTACGTTTACGTGGCTAATTAGAAGCTAACATAATGATATTCATATTATTTTTCAAAATCGACATTAATTCAAAGGCAAAATGAATTATATTTAAATTAATTAATAAAAAATAATTGTCGCGTTGCGTCCGTCCTAAAAACGTTTTTATGATATAACGATTACTGGTCTTGCTATTTAAATTTGCATCAAATTTTACTTTTTCTATTTACTTCAGTTTTTATTTAATAATCTAAAATGTAAGGAATACAATAAAAAATACTAAGGTTTATTTACAGTCTGTTAAATATTAGAGGATATTATGAATACGGAGTGAACACCACCAGTGTTCATCCCGTGGGGCCCGTAAG